GGGTTATAGGGTTTGCTGATTTGCTGCCAAACCTACCCTGGGATTATGGCCGACGCACACATCCGATCCCTTTACAGGCAATGGGCACTATTTGACCCCTTCCCCGTGTCCTGGGCAGTCGTCCATCAAAGCGACGCCGCAGCCCGCAGTGCCCGTGCCATGAGCAACCACCCAACCCCAGACCAAACGCTCGATGGCACCTACCAAGACGGAAAAAATGATAAGTCATTGATTCAACGCGGCTCACAAGCCAGATCTAGCAAAACAGAGCCGGTCTTGGTGGCATCGTTTCTGGCCTAAGCTGCTCCCAAATTTCCGGCGTGGCTTCTGACCCCCGGGGCAGGGCATCTGCCCAAATCTTCCGCACACCCCCATGCTCGCAGATTGACCCGCTTCGCGCACAGACCATGGCAGACGCCTGCAGCACATAGCATACCGGCCGACGCATCGAGAATCCTTTGCTGTTACTGCACACCATACCGAGGTTGTCGCACTGCTGACGCACACAGAAACGGCCGAGACAAGCTGGCATCCAATAATACCAGCTGCACCTATGCCTCCAAGGCACACAGACACATATGCAAGGTTGCAACGACTGTACCTGCTTTCCGTCGTCATCCTGCAAAAACCAGGTTGACAAATCTGCCCGTCGATTGTAGCAGTGTAGCATGCAAAAGACTTGACATTAGCCAAGTCCAACGCACTGCCTGGCGGGAGCCATAACGCCCCGGGCCAGCCACGTCCCTTTCCGCAAACGCATCAGCAGCCGCCACACACGGCCCTTCTTTTGCACAAGGTGAGCTGGCGAGATGGCTTGTCCTATTCGAAGAAAGCACAGGGCATCCTCCGCTGCCAGCACGCAGTCTGCATCAAAATCCCCAAGCTGCACCCACACGCGATTGTGTTTCACAATCCCAAATCCGCGAACTGTCAACAAGCCGTCCACCACCACAGTCTGGCAGCTTCCAACCGGCTTGGGCGTCACCGTGCTCGCCGCAAGAGCCGCGCATGGCAATCCAATACCTCCTGCACGTCCGCCAACTGCGCGGTCCAGCGGGGGAGGGCAGCATAGGTTTGCGCGCAATTCGGAACCAAATTGCCGTCTATGGCTTAAGCCACCGACCTCCGACGCATACCAAGACTAAGACAACGGCTCAACCAAGGATTCCAGCTCGCGCATGCTGCGACGCGAGCCCACGCTCACTCAAGCTGCCATATCTTCGGGCACAGCCGCACACAACTTGCATCTCAAGCTGAAGAGCCCGCCGATCCAACGCACCTGCTTGCTAAGGTACAGATTACGCCACGACAGTGGCACGCCAAGGACACACGCCAGCAGGATCTTCAAACACGGTAATACCCGCGCTGAGCTCGAAGGCAACAGGCCCAAGCTGTCATCAAGGTACACACATGATGGCAATTTGACGCATGCATCAAGCGAATTAACCCTGCCGTAACACGCACCCACCAGAAGGCCGCCCACGCGCAGCCGAAATAACGGTCATGTGAAGCCACAAATGCGCACGACCAGATTCATCAATAACGGTAAATAAAAGCAGCCCCTGTACAGAACGATGCACCTTCACCCGCTTACGCGCTTTACTGACGTCAAGCACAAGCGCCGTCCAGTGTTCCTCCACCTCGCGCCATGCGCCGGAACGTGGGATTATGTTCACAACTCCTGTAGGCACACCATGCTCTAGTAGACGAGGGAGACCTGCGCCCACATCCCGCGTGAGCATACAGCATCCCACAGCTCAAGCGCAAGCGGCTGACCAGGCACAATACGCTCACAACGCTCAATCCCCTGCTCTCTCGAGAAAGAGACGACGTCAAAACGAAGTTTCTGTGTCTCCCCATCATGTAACAAAGGATCACGCGCCCATGACTGTATCATAGGCTGACCAGCCTTTGCTCCAGGCGCCAATGGATAATACGCTGTAGCCACGGCTTCAGCATATCTGGCACCCGAGGACGGAACCAGTCTGCATCGGAATGAAAAGCACCCCCATCACGCAGCCGGAGAGCGTCCTCACGGCTATACGCGGCCATCTCACCAGATCGTGGTTCTTACGCTGGCTCGCTGGCCGCCCAAGCGCGACAAGGCCGCCATTTCGGCAAGCTGGGGTCACACTCCTGAAACGCAGTCAGCCCCGAGCCAGAGTCGCGCAAGGTACCCAGCCATCCCGGTGCCAGCGAAAAGTCGTCACGCCTATACTTTTCCACGCACCCAGAAGAACTGCGAAGGTGGTGTTGCCGCTGCGCGGAACGCTTGTCAATTCCAATCTGCAGCTGAAGTCCCTGAGTGCAAGGACTGGTGTCAAGGCTATGCATAGCGAACTTTCTTCCATCCGCCGCACCTATCTGCTTCCTTTTCACAAGTCGCACACGCCCATTCCAATTCACATACCACAAATAGCCGCAATAGCCAGGCCCCCGAAGGCGCTTTCCATGACCATTTCCGCGCTGCAAGCCAAGCGGCCCACGCAAGCTCGCTGCAAAACCATCCAAACCAGGCTTATATGCGCAATGAAGCGTAGCGCGTGACTTGACCCCTTGGCAGCACTTGAGCGTCCCGAACCTCGATTGGAGCTAGCGCCCTCAACAAGAGCGTCTAAGTAATCCACAACTTGTCGCCACTCAAGGAGTCCAGCTGAGATCCCGGAAACGCCGCAAAACAAAATCCATTGACTCCAACCACTCAAGTGGCGTCTGAGCGTGCTAGGCGCTGGTCTGAAAACAAGAACACCAACTGCTCCGCATCATAGCCCTTTAAAATAGTGACTGCAGCACAGAGCTCTCTGCCCGCACAACCTCAGCAAAAGCAACAATGAAGGAAGCTAAGCCTTGCCGTCTGGCATGACCCTTCGCCACTCTGCCCCGAGTCGCGCCGACCACTTGCAGAGAATTCGGAGGAGCAATTGGGGCACTTGGAGGAGCAAGCACACCAATCTTCGTCACAACTGGGGGCGGTTTGTTTGCAGTGAAGCTTCACGCTACTTGTCCCCTCCAACATAATTATGGAATGGGGGCACGGTCGCACATAGGATTCCACACCGCGCCGCAGCATTGCAAACAGGACAAAGCAAGACACAGGCAAGAGCGGCTTTCGAAGCCACACTTTGTCGCGATTGTACGACACCTGAGGCAAGCAATGACTCGGGAACCTGTCAAGAGAACCAATAGCACAACATGACTGCATGCCTATCCACGGGTTATGGGGTTTGCTGTTTGCGTCCGCCATAAACCAAACCTAACCCGACGCAAACATCCCGCAATAAAGGAACTCAAGTCAAATGCTAGCGCACTGCGCGGTCTTGCATGCAGCCACGGCCACAGCACACGGCCTTGGAAGGTCCAGATCGCAAAGCCAGCTTCCATACTGTACCTCTGTGCAAGGGGGATTTAATCTTCCAGCTGTGAGATCTTTGAATGTGAAAATCAAATCCCGGAAGTGCCATCCATTTGCAAGATGCCACCATAGCCACATCTCTTGGGAGGCCTACTTCATGTCTTCCTCTTACCACCTACTTGGGTTATGTCCCTTTGGTGAGGATTCCTGAATTGAGGTGCGCATCAAACTTTGTAGTGAACCCAGCCAGGCGACACAACAACATACGAGCTATATAGTCTTAACTCCTAGTATCCCACTTCATAACCCCTATAACGCTCCCCCTATATAATCCCCTTTTAACGCTTCGAATAAGGAAGCCAAACCCTCCCCCAGGCACTTGAAGCCGCCGATCTCGTTCCTCGGCTGATGCCACTCGCATTGTGGGCCGTAAAGCTAGAACACATGTACAAAGATGAGCCAACAAGGTCACAGCCACTATGATCTCGCCTAATCCTTGGAGTTCGTCAACGTATGCATGATGAATGATGCTTTCAGATTGACTAGATGTCCTGAAAATATTGTTTCAGTCCCAGCGTAGACACTGCTCTACGACTTCCACGGACCGATTTTACATCAACAACACATCCAAGCTTTCTCTTTAGGAGGAAGAGACACAAGACAACATGCACTTGGAAGGGAGGTCATCGTTTCGTACACACTCGGTGGATTCAACCTTTCAGACTTGCACTGGGTTAGCTAACAGAAACTTGCAAAGAGAGCAGTGGATGGGTAGGCTCGCAAGATGTTATCACCAAATGCTAAGGTTTCGGGCTGCATCGTCCAGCCTTTTCCTCCTATGTAGTCACATAAGAAGACGAAAGGGAGGGAGAGACAGAGAGAGGAAGGCAAGTGCGTCCAGTCTAGCAGAGATTCTGCATGGGCTGCGTCACTGCAGTGATGACATACCTGAGGAGGGCGAGGCAGGACTCGGCGATCATGCTAGGCTAGGAGGTTCAAAGTCCTGCAGAAGAACCCTCTGAATCCTGAAGTCCTTTGTGACAACACCCCTGAGCACCGAGAGTAGCAAAGCTAAAGGTCTCTGAGCATTCATCCAGGTTCCGACTTCAACAGAAACCTAGCACTAGCTCGATCTTAAAGATCGAGTAGAAACATGTAGAAGAATAGGCTTCGAGCTTTGAAATTAAAGCTCCCAATCTGTGCCCCTTGCATTGAAAAAATTGTCCTCAAGAAGACTTCTCGCGCCCGCCTGGATGACGGATCCCACTGCACGTTTGTGAGCATGAAATGCTCATCCTGCCAGGTCTGGAGCGTGCAGGAGGACTGGATGGAGGGCATAGTAACTTAGCTTTACGTTGCGCCCTAAAATTTGGCCACATGGCATTCCACCACCATGCGCGTGCTTGTGAGGATAGTAGCTAGGAATCAAAATTGAGGACTCCGAGCGCAAGGCTCGTGCGGACCAGAGAGTCAGCTGTTTCCAGATCTGATGTCTGCCACATCCTCAAAGCCTCATTTTAAACCTTTGCAGGGAAATCCTGGCAACCTTCCAGCCAACAGTTTCATCTGACGTCAGCCTCGCCATCTGCAAATCAAACAAGACCCTGGGGGCGCCGACTCCAAGCTAAATCCCAAACTTGTTGAATCTTTATCTTGTAGCATCTGCTGCGTCTACAAGACCCCCCGCCTTGTGCAGGATCTCGAGCTTGTTGTCGCTGGTCATCCCGCCGAAGAGCAGGTCGCCGTGGCCGACTGCAGCACACACGAAATACTGCCTGGAGTGGGCTTGGCCAATTGCAGCTTGCTGTTCTCGACGTTTGGTGTAAGCCAAGCCGAGGCTTTGTGGGTGTTGACTCGATGAAAATGTTATCTTGAATTGAAAAAGTTAGCTGCACCACTAGCCATGAGCCAGCTTCCAGCAATTGAGAGCCCTCTGCGCCATCTCAAATGTACGAATGGCTCAAGGGCTGGCGTGATGTGACCTCTCCAGGACAAACTCTCCTAGTCTACTGCAGAGCAAAACCATCACCAACCCGGTCCTCAGTCTCAAAGGCTCCCTGTTCGTCGGCGCTAGCTGCATCTTGTTTGGAAATTCAACCTCTCCAAAGTCCAAACCTGCAGCTAACCTGAAGCCACAGCTCCAAACCCCTCAAAAACAGATGCCCAGAACTTGCAAAGCTGGATGCCCTTCGGGTGCCCAGAAGAAGTTGTTGAAACCTAAGTTGGCAAGTAGCTGGGACAAAACGCACCTTGTTTTAAACCTTTTGCTTTACGGTTTACTGTTATGAAAGCAGAATGCTCAGAACAAAAATGTGTACTGTTGGCCGCCCTGGTACTGTTCGAGGGCAAGTCAAAGAAGCTGAGAACTTCACACTTCTCCTTGCCTTGGCACAGGTGCTCTTGAGGCGGTCATCAAGAGCTCTTACCATGACATTTGTACAGGGTCAAGATTTGTCTCAGTCCTTTCAGGGTGGAGAACTTGCTAGTACAGAAGGTTTGCCATCCTCACTCCTTCTAAGGTGTCATCAGCTTGCAGGCAGTCATCTTCGCGATTAAGCCTGTAGCTAGCCATCACTCTGTTGAGGTTCTGCCCCTTGAAGCCATCGACTACCCCGTGGAGTTTTAGGACTTGCTAGCTGCTAGCCGTCATTTCCTTGATGTCTAGCCATTGATTCCTTTTCTGGCATGGGGCTTGCTAGTCATCACGCCATATCGGCTGCATAAACCAAGTGCGAGCGTGCGAAAGCAAGTCGGAGGCAGATGACAAGAACAAGTTGTAAGAAGCACGCGCAGGAATTACGCCACCCAAAGAAGCGAATGCATACTCAAGGAGAGATCATTACCAAAGAGATACAGTAAAGCCTAAACACCGCGGCCGTCTTGCTTCGTTTCAACGCCTTGGCTCACTAAGTGTACCTTCAAACATCTCTTTTCGTAGAGGGTGATGACACGTTTTGGCTTTCGACATTGCCACGGCCTCATCAAGAATCTCAGGAGGTTGGGTTGGCTTCTAGAAAGAATACAATTACCAGACCACATAGCGCCCAACCACAGAAGGAAATGTCCTAAGGTCCATTAGGACATGTCAAGCTCCTGCCGAAGCTTTAGTTCCAACAGCCAGGCCAGCTCAGGACTGGCGCAAATGCTCACAACATGCTTCTCTACATCTGAGTTGTAGGTACAAACTGGGCCTTGCATGCCCAGGGTGTGCCACAAAGACAGACAAAGTAGAAACACTGATGAGTGTGCTCTATTGTAGCGCCGGCAGGCTTAGGCCGTAGATGAACATCTTGGGATGGTGTCCAGAGTCATCGCTGGTAAGCAGCGAGAAGCGGTGCCCCTTCGTCTCCCAGTGGAAGCCTTCACTGAATGACATTTGAGGGCTCTGGCTGAGGCGGACATGCTAGTCTCTGCCTCACAAGCATCCACGCACCGCGGTAGGGCCTCGCACAGAGTCCTTAACCTCCACAATATCCACAGGGATGTTCTTCTCGCGAATGCCTCTGTTTTAGGGAGGTTCTAGCTTCAGCTCGGCCTTTCTGCGCTTCATGCTGTATGCTTATTCAAGGTACATTGGTTTAGGATGCAATGCTTTCTTCCTGGCCAAGACACGGAAGATCTCAAGATTTGTTGCGCCTTTCTTCTTCGTCCTTGCTTTACACAAAACTGGGACCAGCGAATTTCGAATTATGCACGACAGCGCTCGTACGCATGAAGCTGCAGCTGCCATGACTTGTACACTTCTTACAGTCTTGGGCCATGCGAATATGGACTCAAAAAGCCCAGCGTCTTTGATAGCTTGGTATTGATGAGGCACAGGTAATCACCCTGGCCAGCTCAAGTCATGCCCTCTGCTTATAAACCCCGCATGTTCTCCGCTGCAATTCAAATGAACTGCGTGATGTTGCGCCAGACAGTCAAAAAGGATCCTTTGCAAGCTGCAAAAAAGACAAGAATGAGGTCTGTCCGAGTGTCCATTTCACAGTAAGACCTATACTTGGAGACCCAGGGAAGGAAAACCCCGATGACCCAAGCCGTTGGAATGCACGGAAACTCCAACTCTCACCGCAGCCATTTACCAAGCCTGTCAGTTCAGCGATGCAATTCAGAGATGAAAGCCAAAGTCCTATCTCAGGATGCCTACAGCCCGCAGTGTAGCACATGGGGTTGATTCTATTCGGGCTGGAGAGCGCATGTACGTGCAAATCCTTGTATCAGCCCATAGCTTGATTTCAAGCTTGGAAGGTAGATCTTACCTCAGCTCATCATGGGACAGGGAAACAGTTGCGGCAAGTGATGAGACCCACCTACCACGGGTCTTCGTTGACAATTTGCCTTGAAGCGTTGGGAAAAGCCATGAAACAACATCGACTCTCAAATCAAAGTTACACCGCGCTTCTCGCACGAGAGCTGAAAAACAAACTTGTAAGTCTAGATGTTGCCCAAAGTCTGTCATGCGATACAGAAACCTGCCATGCCCAACAATCTTATGAAGCTCCTCTGGATCAGTACACGGTTTCTCTCGCAGTATCTGCCAACGAGCCTCGTGAACTGTAGAGGCCTAACCTCTCAAGGTCTAAACTGTCAGCCCAGAACCACAGAACTCCCTCCACGAAAAGCCCTCACTCAGCAGGAGGAAGCACCTCAGACTGCCAGTGCATGGCAGCCTCCACCTGCACAGTGTGTGTAGAAACAAGAGCATCGCACGTTTCATCACATGAACAACAAGCCACTAGAATGATGACAATAACTCATCATCATCGTCATCACCAACAACATCATCACCGGCATCCCAAAGATCATCACCGTGATAGATCGTGATAATCGTACCGCTAGCAGAGCCACCACCAGGCCTGGGCCTGAGACCGGAAAGATAAACAACAACCACAATGACCACAACCACAGCTGCTGCACTGGCCAACCCTAGCAGGACTGCAACCACAACCAGGGCAACGACCATGACCCAAACCGCAACGATAAGCACCAACGCCACAATGACAACAACTGCCGCGACCAAGACCATCACAGCCCTACAGATCGATCCTACATCGGCATGGGGCTCCTGGCTTGCGGCTGGCATGGGTACATATGGTTGAGGCTTGTAGCCTTTAGGTGGAAAGGTATCAGCGACCAGGGCTTCGCAAGGCCCGAGGAGAAGCTCTTCAGGCGCAGCTCCTGGCCCCCTTCGTGATGCTTTGGTCTGCGGGGACTTGGAAACGCAGCCTCAAACATTTGCCAAACAGTTGCGGGATCGATTTAGTTGTCTGTTCACGGACTTCGCTATGGGTCAGACACTAGAGCTTCTGGTAAGCGAAACGCAGACCCCACACCCAGATTCGTATACTAATGCCGCATAGACCAAGGCCTAATCAAGCCTGAAATTCTAAACTTTTCCCGGCAATGCTGGAATGAGGTGGGCTCAATTCTCCACGTGACAGAGTGGAGCTGCTATTGAGTTGCCATTGGGAGATCATCAGCCTGTACAGGTTTAAACACCTTTCCACCCTCCGGATGATTCACGGAGAGTTCAACAACCTAAAGCCACTCCTGGAGCATTCTAGCCGTCGAACAACAGCCCTAACAAATTCCCTCGACCGGCGGAGCGCCTGTGTTCGGGATCTGGACGCAAGCTCCCGCCGCGAAGGGATCTCCACTAACACCTTTGAGCCAACAGGCAATACTAGTCTTTTCAGAAGGTTTGGAAGATCTGAGCTGTCCACCCGTTTGAGGCGCACAGCTCAGGATCCAAAACTCCATGCCCAACCCTCCGATAACAACTACACCTACAACAACCTTCAACGGTTGATTTGTCCCGTTTCGTGAACCTTCGACATGTCGATGCATCTTCAAATTGCTTGTTGCTGCGGCATATAGTTGGAAAAATCACCTGCAGCCGAGAGTCCAATCGTGCAGGATTGTTCTCCTTCTCCAGGCACCACACGCTAAGCAGGTTGTCCTGCACACCGATGCAGCTTGCCACAGACAGTTGCTAACCCTGTCGGAACACCTGAGCACAGAGAGCGGCAGCAAATGCCCAAGAAAGACACCTGCAGCAGTAACGGTAGCAGCAGTAAGCAAGCAGTGGAGGTCATGTTCCAGACCATAGCCGGGTAGTGGCCTGGCTACACATGCTTCTCCGAAAGAATCATTGACTCCGTCAATGCCTTCATCTCACACTGGAGCTACTGAGAAAGATTTCAACTGCACCCAACAAACGAGTAGCAAGGTCCATGACACCAACAGGTGAAACACTGTTAGCCTCAGGAAACACTGCTCTACTGGCAACTGTATGCTGTGGGGGGCAGAAGCACCTACATACTTGCGGATTATACATGGCTTGGGTTCATGATGGTTCATGGGATAGGGATGCATACACTCAGAGGAGAATGGACCTCCTTTCTTACGCAAACATGGTCCGTAAGATCATGAAGCCAAGAACCCCATCAAACCACAAGCTGCATGTCGACCCAACACGTTGCTTTGACGGTGCTTATCTTCTCCTCAGATACTGAGCACACTCGGAGCTAACATCAATCCCACCCCTGCTCCAGCCCTGGAATGTCCTTGGGGGACCATTGGAAGGTGCTAAGCTCTGGGAACTTCAGCGTCCGCTTCTTCCCATCCTCATCCTGGAAGTGCAGTGTAGGCTAGCCATTATGAAATTCAAGACTTGGGGCTATGGTTTTAGTTTGGTCTGTGGGCTCGCCACCCTGGGTTTTAGGTCTAGTTGGGTGCCCATCTCCAGTTCTGCAGACAGTCATGTTGTCAACTCAGACGATTTAGTCTAGGGTTGCACTGGCCCTACTCTTGGGTTATCTGGATTTGCTTGCAAATTAAAGGTATTGCAGTACATCAAGCGCATGATGCCTGTAACCTATGATCCTTCGAAAGTTCCGGAGTGTGCCTTGATCAGGTTGAACGTGTCCGTTTCGCGGACCGAGATGGAAGACTCATTGCACTCGGCAAAGAACTTGCCGTCACGACCTACAAGGGGATGCACCAGGAGAAATCCTCTTGCGTGCATCAGGGCTGAGAGGGATGGAGCTGCTCGGCTTCTGTATCCTCAAAAATTGGCTTAGACAGTAGATTGGAAGTTTGCCTGCTGTTGTGTCCTCTTCAAACGTATTGCAGCCCGCTGATTAGCTGCCTGTCATGAAGGAAATCAAGATGAACCCATTCTCAACTATGCACAGCATGGAAGATATCCGGCAAATCTTCGCCATACCCCCTCTCTGCGGCCCCGTTTGATGTCCTCAGGATCCCCGGCATATTAGCACAGAAAAGTCCATGCTGCACCAAACCAGCATTCTGCAAAGGACCTTCCTTAATGCACTCCACAAAGGAGCATTCCAAACTGTGCAAAACCTTAGTCCCCGAGCCTAACCTCCAAATTGCCGAGGTGCTCCACAAGAAGTGCGGGAAGTCGCCACCCAAAGGCGCTACAGCTGGTGTACCTCCATCAATTTTGCATGGCTCAGTTCTCTCTCTGAACTACCTTACAACTGGGACTTCAAGGCAGCACAATGTGAGGTTCCTTGGGTTGCTGGATGAAGAGAAATGGCTAAGTTTACACAAGTGACTGCGCAGAGGAATTCATGACCTCGTAGATTCGGCAACTATAGCCATAGGAGCTTTCGCATGGAATCATGTTTCCATTGATGATTGTAGTGCAGCCTCAGCCTGCAGAAGGGGCGTACTTCCATCATTAGGAAGCTAAGTGTCATGGAATGACATGAAGCAATAGCACACTGAGATGAATTTGTGTACAAATTCGGAAAACCTTGTGATATGGCACTTTGCAGCCCGCGCCATTTCACGTTGTTACAGGCACAGCTTTAACGAACCATCACGAAGCGACTCAAGCCCCGTGTGAAAAACGCCACAGACCCCAGGATTTCAGCCGTTGGCCCAAGGTACGGCAGTTGAAGACGCATTCGCCAGTCAGCACTCGATGAATCTTCACAGCCTTTCAGATGGGCATTTCATTTGCTGAAGTCAATCATTTGACAAATTGCCTGATGCTAGTTTCAGTACTCAACAATGAACACCTGCAGGCCAAAACCAATTCTCCAAGCTGCAGCGTTTTGTGAGCCAGCGTTTTGTGCACGCTCCAATCTGATGCTACCGGAATGTTGGCATGTCTGGGCCCATGATTTACAGATGAGTCTTCTCGTGTCTGATGAGACAGTCGAGATCATTGGAAAATATTGGCAACTTTCCCTTACTGCTAGTCAGCTAGTCACCCTGAGGTGTCAAAAATAAGAGCCTCCAACAATGTTCCTGCACTACAGGAACTGCTTTGAGCATCCAAGTTGTGAGGGAGACATCCACGGCACTTCCGTACAGGCTTGTAGCATCCAAGTACTCCACCTTGAACAAAACCCCTGCTACATAAACAATACTCGAAGACAAGACAGAAGACTACAACCCAGCTTTCTGAAACTTTATGGCTCGGAGCCCTCCGGACACCTCAAAGCTCTCAGCTTCAGCCCCGACTCCCAAATCTCTTGCAATTTCGGCCCACATTCGGGTCGTTCTCCAGGGCCGAGGTCCCATTCCAAGTCAAGGCATACTCCTGCGTCCCCACAGGCGGCAGCCAAAAATGAGCGTGCAAGCAGATCTGAATGCCCGAGTGATGCGTGAAAGCAGATGTGAACCTTGCATGGAAGGCTGCAACACCTCACTTCTTGTCTTTCGGGTTGCGTGGTATGGATAGCACAAAAATCTTTGGGACAAACGTTTCTTATGGTTTGACCCAAGAAGAGTTCAGAGATAAGCAATGTGACGCCATTTCTGGAAGTGTAAGTGCCTCCACTTTACAAGCCATGTTTGGCCAGGGTTTCTACTTCTTTGCAAGTTACAGCCAGCATTTCGCACAGACAATACATCTCGCGAACGACAAGACATGTGTAAAGCCTCGCATGAGCCAAACCTCTTGTTCTGCCACAAATTTCGGGGATAGGGGGGGGTGGGGCTCCCCATATGGGCAAACAAGGCTGGCTAATCCCTGACATAAGCATCTATAAACCTGGCTGCCCGAAGACTTTAGGAGATGGAGACTATCAGAAATTTCTCAAATCAACCGACTGCTGACCTATGCTTTGAGACTCTGAACCCTTGACCTTACTGGCTCGTGCCTCCGTAGGCGAGAACTCCAAATACCTTGCTGGTGCTGACGGACAGTATCATAAACAGAGCTTTGGGCCATGGGCGGATGGCACAACGCAACCTGTACTGGAAGTATCTGAGCGTGCACAAAGCAACTCTAGCAGAGAGCAGGCGCAGCCCTGATACACGAATTCCCAATTCAGATGCAAACCTATGCGAAAAAACACCGACAGCACAACCCAGTCACGCACCGACGCAAGCGTCACCTGTGCAAACCTGGCCTGCAAAAGCCTTGACGAAGCACAAATAGAAGGATAGGCGGCTAAGTTGTTTGATGGCTTCACGGCTTCTGGTCATGCTCAGGTGCTTCACGGCATCATGAGCGAAACGGATTTTTTTGGTGAAGTCTGGACCGCCCCAAAGGGCGACACCCTGACAGCAGACTGGCTTGGGAAGAATAAGGGATTGGAGAGGCTTGGCTTTCTTGGCTTTCCAGTCGCGAGGATCCGCTGCAGCCCTCACATGAGAGTCAGACCAATGGAGCACTGTTCACGGAGCACATATGAGGCTTTCGGTGTCAGGACAGTTGGCCATTATGGTAATAATGTCAGTTCTGCACAAGGCAAAACAGCCATCACGTAGGCCCAGGATCGGGAACAAAAAAGGTTCACAATTTAGTCACTTACACTTACACACCTTGAGCCTCAACAGCTAACAGCACACCCTCAGCACAATAGCCACCAGATGTGATGAAGAAACGCAAACTTACTTGGAAACACGCTGGGTTAATTTGCATGAAAGACGTTGGACATCGCCAAGACGGCACATGGTCTGCGTTGTCAAGCAATGGTTTGTGTTAAAGACTCCAACCCAAGAAAAGCTTCAGCAAATGCCACACATCTAACTTGGGACATGTGGTTTTCGCTGCAGTGCAAGAATAGACCTGTGCAGTACTTCAAGCCCGCTTGTCTTCACAAAGTCAGGGCTCCATACAATGACGACACATCCTTTGCTACTCTTTGTAGCACTACACTAAGCCCTTATCCTGTTACCTTCCAATTCAACCGCTAGGATCTGCGCATACCCTCGCCTGCTTGTGAAATGTTGTCAAGAAGTGGCCGAGCGGTGACCATTGCACCTTGCGGGTGCCCCACCTAATTGCCTGCTGCTGCCCTATGCTGTCAACTCTGCATCTTGCACTCGCGGAGGCGCAAACCCGAAAAACAAAAACCACCACCTTTAGGGCTTCGTGCCGTAAAGCACCACCCTGAAACACCTCCTGGATCCCAAATCCCCGTGCCTGCCAGTCGCACCAGATCTTGCCTGTCCGCTTCTCGCGCTCGCCACCATAGCAGAGCGTGGGCTCGCCTGTATTCAACGTGCCACTCAATATGAACGGCCCCATAAACTACTCAGCTTGTGTGCAAACCAAGCGATGGAATGCGGGACGGCTGGTCATACGAGAAACTACGTGACGGCTGAAACACCAAAAGCCGTCAGGCCTATGGTGGTGTCGTGCCAGAAGATTTCTGTCTCTGTCTGGTAGCGCAGGAGGAACCTGAGCTTCGGGAAAAAAACAGCGCGTGATCGCCATGGCTGCAAGGCAGCTCTCAGGAGGGACTCTCAGCATCACAGCGTTACTCACATGGATTTTGGGCTGCAGTCCCCAACGCCAGCCCCAGCATCTAGTCTGTAACAGAAAAAACTGTCAGCGGCCAGTGCTTTGGCTGACGCATGTGCACTGAAGGAAGGGCTGCAATTTCATTCCAGACTTCCGAACATCCTGCTTTTTTCTGTCAACCTTGAACAATGGATGATACGTCAGTTCTTTCAGCCACGTGACTGCTCCCGGCATTTGGAGTCCTGTAGCCAGGACCGGAAGTCGTTCCGGGAATAGGTCGCGAGCGTGCGCTTGGGCCTGAAGTCCTGTGCCACTGCAAGCTATGCACATGTCGGGATCAGAGCCCCCGGGCTCTGTAGCCGAGCGCTAGCAAATCGCAGTTAAACTAAAGGAAGCTGCGTTTCCTCATCGCGGGATGTGATGGCATTGAATTCGTCAAGCTTCACGACCTTGCACAGCGAGCCAGGTGCTCTACATGGTCTAGCTCAGGATCCCTACAACAAGTTCTAACACTTTACTATGGCATAATGGAGACGCTGACAACCAGGGCATGCCTGGAGATTACTCCTACCATGCAAAGACTTTGCCTGAGCCCTTCATAAACAGCTTCCGACATAAGTCTTCCAACGCTGCGTTCGACATCCCGTCTGACTTCTTCAAAGCAAAGTCGAAACGTTGCAAGTTCTTGCAAGCCACGGCAGGCGGAAATCAGAAGAAGGCTTTGTGCAAGTTTCCACGCTGCTAGAATCGTTTTGCTTAGGACTTGCGACCTGGAATGCGCCTTTCCAAACCAGAAAACTTTTAGCGATAGAAATCCCTGATATGGAATGACTCTTGCAAAGCGCCACTACTTAGCCTTTTATGGTGCAACATGACAAGGCGATCTTGCAGTGAAACCGCACCTCTGAACTTGAGGCAGTGGATTGTATTCAGGAGCAACCCTAATTTTCTTAATTGAAACACGCAACGCAGTCCAACCCCAAAGCAGGAAACTTCCCAGGGTCCTCAGCCCGTAAGTCTACGGCGACCCCAAGTCTACAGCATGAAGCCTAAACAAGTATCATCAAGTATCCTGTATCAAGGGGCTCATGGATTCACATCTCTCCGGGACCACAAAATGTTGAAAAGTTGAACGCTGATGATCACTAGCACTCTAAGCTAGCACTACATCGGTGAAGGACGACTTGAAAATCACTGAATCGGAACCGCTGCTCACCTTGAAGGTGTGCTTCTTGTCTAAGCTCATGCCATCCAGAGCCTACGCAAGCGTTCGAGAATTTGGCTCTGAATTCGTAACATATGTGCACGCGTGTATATACATATATATATATATGTATGATTGGAAAAATTCTTTTCGGTGGAGAGCATGAGCAGGGGTAGAGGCCCTCGGAGCATTGCAAAACAACCCATATCTTGCTCCTTCCAAGCTTGGATTGATGAATGTGAGATTGTCGTGAATTGCAATGCAGGCCGACACCAGATCTCAAGCCGCACCAACCTCAAGCTGAATTCCTCTCGGTGGGGATTGAGGGGTTCTGAGTACAACTTTTGAAGAGCGCCAGCCATTCAAAGTTCGTAGTTCAAGATGCTCTGAGCTTTTTCTGGTCAATGGCGGCATTGCGCGAACATCAGCTACAAAACCGAAGCTGCAGGCCTTCCACGATAAAACAGTTAGCAATTGTCATGCCGTCATGCCTATTGCAAGGCAATGCTCTGCACAAATCTTACCCTTCAATTCTCCCCTATAGGTTTTGTTGGCTCAGTGCGGCTTTGGAGGATTGATCCATTTGTGATTTTGAGGTGCTGGGCGGGATCCTTTGGGCTCATGTGCAGGCGAGAAATAGAGAACCGACTCACAAGATAAATGTCCAACGAACCTCGCGCTTAACAGCTTACAGCAAAAGTGGCTTTCAGTGGAGCAGACCGGCGGCGTCATGGTCGCTGGGATCTAACCCTCAACAACAACAACAGTTCCAAAACAACCTGAGAAGCTCGCATGGACCAGTAGATGGCCTCACGTGGAGTATACCGGGTAACCCCGCATGCTCCTGCATTCTTCTGCAATAAGCACCATCCCCGAACAACTGAAACCATGAGCCCATGAGGAGTTGGCACCTGCTGCGCTTGATCAGCCGCCTCGGGCTTGTCGTAGGTGATGAGAACGCAGCCCTCGGTCTCTGTGCCTGGCACCGTGCTGAGGAAGCTTCCAGCTTTGAGGCCGTGCTGTTGCAACAGCACGACCGACTGCTCTGTCAAGTCTGTTCGGAAAGCCGGAGTGATTTCAGCACGTTGGAATTGGGGCTGGAGTGTACGGGACTGAAGTAAGGATGATAAACCAGCACGATCAGCTTGCCTGCCGCATTGTACGGCATCTCTTTCTCGTTGTCACCGTACTTGTTGAACAGCTTCGAGATCACACCTGCAACTTCTAGCCTGGACCCTTACGAATTTGACATTCCGGACGTTGGAGTCTTGACCCACGAACATCAAGTGCCTGACTTCTAGAACCATAGGGCCAAACCCCATCCAAGCTACTTGACTCAACTGCAACATTCAATTACCATCTGAGGCAGCGTACCACAAGGAGTGTATGTGCAAGAATTTTGAGACAAGTGGTTGTTTCAAAGCATTGTCATGGGTACCTTTTCTAGGGTTTCGACCGAAGCATTCAATTGGCCTTGTGGAGCCGTTGCGCACAGATCTGTGCATCACACAACTGCCACGTGCCGTGGGAGCAAGGCTTCGTGCAACCTGTATTTTCTAACAATGCAGGGTTTGCAGCTGTTCCGACTCACAATGACGTAATTTGTCCGGGCACAGTGGTCAAACGAGCTGGGAGAAAAAGCTAAACAAGATTAAATCCAGCTCGAGGCCCTGCCCCTGGCAAGCTTGGAAACAACAAGCCCTGAAGGTTGGAATGTGTGAATGGCTGAGCCTAAGAGCTTGTCGTACTTCTCTTTGGGGACCCGCGGAAGTCCGCAGACAATGAGAGAACCTGAGGCTCTGTAGGGGTCTCCCAGTCTCCCTGTACTGCTCCCGAGAGCACAGCATTCTCTAACAGCATGTTGCGTCGGTATAGCAGCAGAACACGTCTGGAAGGAACTGCCCCAACACCCAGACCCTAAAACCCTGAACACCTCGTCGTGTTGAGCATGCAGCGGGCCAGTTGACGAGCATACGCATGCGATTGCTCTTCATGCAGCTAGAATGCATGAACCACAGCACACTCAGAAACCTTGTGCTGCTTCAGAAGGCCAACAACATCTTGAACTCAACCGAGGTGCTTGGGAAGCTATCATCCAACCTAATGGGCTCCTCCAGCGTGTCAATGTCCTCACCATCGCCTGGGAGTGTATGCATCTAAGCTCGCGAAAACTTGAAAAGTCCTCTGGTCTTCTAAAATCCGAAAACAATAAGAGAAGCCTGGCAAAATACACTACAATCAGCGTGTGTGAGGTCCCTGACAGTCATGTTTTTCCTTTTCCTTGACGGAGTACCCTCAGAGATGAAATCCAGGAGGTCTTCCTCCTCTCTCTCCTCGAGCTCCTGCAAATCTTTTTTGAACACCTTGACACTCACTTGCCCGCCCACTAAATGTGGCGTCAGTAACGGCTGCTTGCCTCAGAGATTATTTCGTTTGGCGTGTTATCGGGAATTGCTCCAAAGATCCGCCTTGACAGGGCTGCGTAGCTGATACATCCATGATCATCGCAAGGAGCACGCATCGTTCAAAAACTTAAGCCTGAACGCCCCTTCATCCTAGTCACTATTTCAGGTGCACCATTGGAACATGTGTTCGACAAGAACAGCCCCATTATGCTCCATTGACAGAAGAAGTGTCACACAGACTGGAATACTCAGGAGCGACATCCTTAGAGCCGGGCTAAATGATGTCAGGAGACACAACCCTTCCATGAGCTTATGAGTCCACACAGGCATTTGCCCGTCCTGCTCAATCAGTTCCTGAACGTCGCGCATGGCTCTGGTCCTGGGCAGATGCTGCACTTGTGGCTTGATGGTGCTGAGCACCGGACGTGGCGGCATACCTAACAGAACTCTGCAGAGGGAATGCAAGACTTATGGGATTTATCCAGCATGCTTCCAAACGGGCATCTGATGCCAATGCCATAACCCAACCTGACGAAGTGCCCGGCATACACTGAGATGCTTGCCGTGCTGGGAAATGAGACATAAATCGCACTGTCCCTCTACATAGCTTCATTGGCAAAAAGCCCTTTAGTCTCGGAAGAGCACTCATGAAGCTTGTAAGCCGGGCCACAAGCAGCGTGATCCTCAGGTCAAAACTGGCCGCCGTCTGTAGCCTTCTGCTTTGTCTGGTCCGGGCAGCTTAACCCACAACGGCTACGCGGCAGCGGTGGCAGTGGCTTCACGACTGCAGTGGAGCTGGTAAAAGACGTTCCTACAGATACCAAAGAAGTGCTGCATGGTGGACACATAGATCGTCCTTGCGGCTATACATCACCATTTGAGCTGGAACTTGGGGATGTTGAGCTGAAATGAAAGCACGTAGAACAGTTGCGCACTGCTGGAAATCCTATGTACATGATGTAGTTGACATCACACGATGCAGCCTAGAAGGAGCTGGCATGTTACATTTGCAAATGTGGGCAGAAACGGGCGATGTAGCGTAAATAGGCGGGGTATTTCAGCCTTTGGCTGAACTCGTTGAGACCACATGTAGCAGTCCCTTCAAGCAAAAGGCAGGACGCAAGAAAAGGGAAGGCGCACAGTCTGCGAGCTCAATGCCCATGTAACGACAGCCCGAAGAACTGTTGCCGGATAGCACAATCCTGAATATACCCGTCGCGTCCATTGTGTTCTTCAGCAGTCAAAGCAAGACAAGCCTATCTTCAATTAACCCCTGTCTGAGATGCCTTTGCAGTTGTAGGCTTGAGATCATCGGAAGCGCAAACATGACACCGCGCGGCACTCATTCCGCTTCCCACCAGGATTCCGACCAGGCCGGCCCATCTTCTGCCTCGCTGCACCCGAAGCAATACATCAAAACTGGAACCCTTGCACCAGTTGCAATTGCAAACCCTCAACCAAGGCCCGAAAGGCTTCGCCTCATGCGCGCTGTGCCAGGCCGGGCTGGTGTTGCAGGTGCCAGCGGCGCCGTGGCCGGACCTGAACGCACGGTGAAAAATGTCACAGCCTCTGAAGAGACTCAGGCGTGGGGCAAGGCTCAGCAACAGGTTCAAGTGCAGCAGGAGGGTTCACCATCTCAAGAAAAAGTGAGAAATTCATCTGAGACCAGCACCGTTCTTCTTCTCAATGGCATGACAGCAAAACTGAAAACGTTCTCAACTGGAGCGACGGGAGTATGGTATGCAATGACGGTGTATGTCTCAAGTGAGGAGATACTGCTTCCAGAACTAACGAAGGCAGATACCTTCAGTGGCAAATACGCAGCGTACAAACATTGAAGGGCAACTGGCGGCCGCTGTTCTTAACGCTCTCTTCTCACAAACCTGCCCTGCTAGTGCACGACCAGATCTGTTTTGACAACTTCACTTAGCTGTACGTAGATTTGAGCACAGACTGGACACTGTGTATGCCACCCGAGACTCAAGCACAAACATCTTGCACCAAAATCCTGAATGTAGCCCTACAACCACAGAATCTACACTCGATCAATTCCGAAACGCGCAAACCTCACAGGCGCCCCGGCGCGAACCGGATCCAGCAGTGCTGTCGAACCTTGCATTCTTCAGGTTTGTTCAGGATTTTTTCAATCTGACCATTGGAGATCTCTGCATACTTCTCAAACTAGCACAACCTCATGGGAGGTGAATAAAAGGGGTGGCTGGTTTGACACAAATCTGCAAGAACACCATCCAGACACCTGAATCTTGTGAGACAATTGTGACTGTCTTGCTACCCTGCCGCACCTTGAACCAACACACTGTGCTCAAAGCTACTTGTGAGAAGGGGTGAAGGACATCTGTCGGGTCCCCTCTAGGCACTCTGGCAAAGTATCGTGTAATTTCTAGTAATGATGCTCGCGCATCACGTGCTTGAGTTGTAGGTTGCACCTCCATCTTTCTCGCTGCTATCCTACTCGAGACTTTACAACAGAAATTCCAAACATTTCTTTGTAGAAAGGGACAGGGCTTTTAAGCCACGAGCCTCATCCGCGGAGCACTGAATGGTCGGTTCACCTGGGACAGCACACATGGCGCAATTGGAGCTCTCTGGTCGTCGGGTAGGGATTCACAAGGAGAAAGAAGAGAGAACTGTCCTGGGATTCAAGACGTCTGTCTGGTTTGGGGCCCTTGTTTGGGATTGCATGGTTTATGTCGGATGTGTAGGAGGCAGTGGTCATACGGTCCTTTCAACTCAACACCGTCATCAAGTTGAACGTCTTTGTAGAAAGCGTAGCAACGAGCTGGCAATCCAGATCTCTTGGCTTCTTGTATGAAACAGCACGCAGTGCCGCAGCGCAATGAGAACTAGCTTTGACTAAATCCCAAACGACGAGTTGTCCATCACCACACCCATCAACCCCTGGGGCAGCGTGGATCCAGAAACGTGTTTAGTGTGAATGCTATGCCTTCAATCAATCCTCTAGGAATCTAGAATTGGAACCGTGGATCCAAACATCAAGATTAATTACGTACAACTTATTGCACCTCAAAGAAGCATGTCTTCAGCATTTAAACTAAACACGTATCTCCATGTGTTCTGACTGGCCTGTACTCGCAGCTGCACCTTCGACGTTGGCCGGCTGCGTGAGTCCCTGCGAGAGTCGGGGCTCATGACCAAGTCCCTGCACAGTAAGCGCAAAGAAGCCCGACAGGGGCGCAACGCTTCTGACCTCCCCCACCCTGCTGAAAAAATCCTAACCTTGACACCCATATGAGCCGTGATCAACAGTGAGCACACTGTGAGCACATCCAAAGGCAATCAGGTCACCTGGCACGGACGACACTTCCCCGTCGAAGCGCCACGTCTCAGCGAGCTGCGCGGGAGGGTGGGCCCAGGAGCTCTTCTTCTTCGCACCCCCCAAGATCTGGAACCCGTTTGAGGTGTTCACCGGAACCTTGAGAAACGCTAAAGTTCCTTCGCAATTGAAGGCTAGAATCGAAACCTGACTTCCGGAGCTTTTTAAGACCCAGAGCCTGACACGGTAATCAACCAGAAGTAGACAACGCACACCTCCAATCAAATTCCTCATCATCGATTTGTCAGAACCACAAAATCTTCCCTGCGCTGACCGAGCACCTCGCTTCCTGCAGTTGAGGGCCGACGACCCCTTAAGAGGTCAGGGCTTCGGGCGTGAGGCTGAGATCAATTTAGCGCATCGAGGTTGATTGGAGGCTTTTCAGGCTTGAGACAAGTAGGCTTCAGACATAGAGTCTGCACTGGGGAAGCAAATACAAAGAGTTTTATCGGTGATTGGCTTGGATAAGTTGCGATGCTGACATCAGCAGCAATCATCATTTGGGGGGTATGCACATTGTGCCCGCCTTGATGCAAAATCATGACTGATGAAACCATAATGAAACGGACTGAGTAAGAATCCATTCGATGAGCCCTCTTTCTTGCAAACTTCATCGTGCACCTTGTAACTGACCGCCATGCCCCAACACGTGATCATAATGGCAATGAGATTGATCCCAAATTTCTGGTGCCCGTCACCTTAAGTTTGCTGGAAAATCCCTGCAACCAGGGCTGCGGCTGTGACATGGTCATGGATTGGCAGCCGCCGGAGGTGGCAATGGAGCCTGCCCACAAAGGGGATGTGAATGCAGGCATAGGGAACGAGATTTGGGGTGAGAGGATTCGCTGTCTTGACTGCGGATGCCTAGCTTCTAGTGCAGATTGAAACTGTAAAGTGAGTTCATGTCTTAGTTTAGACTTTCAGCTGAAAGCCTAGAGTTCTAGGCCACGGCTTTCAAGGCATAGGTACATTGCCTGGAAAAATTAAAAAATCAAGAAGATACTGTGGGTCAAACATAGCAATTTATGCGAGCTGTACACATATGCTTTGCAGGTATTGGATGGCAATATGACATGATTACAGCACTCCGTTGCTCCCGCTACTGAGCCTGCCCAGAAATCCTTGGTTGCCTTCAGACCTCCCTGCTTTGAGACTTTGCATTTACACGGGACGACGTCCACCTCACGTCCATGGCTTACACCTGTCAAAGCAAGACAAATTGAGACCGAATGGTTTGGGGCCGGAGTGCTCTGGTGTCCTTAGGTGAAGCCTCAACGGCCTTGGCATCTTAGTAAGACAAGACACTCACCTACATGTGGTTGCAGACTTTTCCAGAGCCTCGAGCACTTCGTGCAATGGTTGGGCTCTCCTAGACACGAAGGCTGCCAAGGTTTCAGGTTCAATCTATAGCAATTTTGGACAGACTGCTTTTCAGCTTGCCGTCTGCAAGTTGGATGATAATTACCAGACACTAGCATGCATCAACGCAAAATGCAACAACTGAACCCATAGCAGCTTGAGTTCGTGACATGCGGGATGCCCGACGCAGAAATCGATGGAGAGCAGCCCGGAATCATGAGCTACGCAAATCAGTCGCTTACACGCTGCTAGCGCTTCCAACACTAACATACGATCGTGCGCAGTGCCAAGATTCCACAAGACTGCTCGAACTGACCAACATGAGGCGTAAGCACCTTCAACAGCAACGCATTCTCGACTTGTTTAACTTCTGTATGCTCAGGGTATTGGGAGCATGGGGATGGAAGAGATCGAAATTTCACCTTCGACGCGTGGATTCTCAATCCGCCACAGAACCTGTAGAAACCCTAACGTTCTTCAAAAGTCGAAGTCCGTTTTTCTGGATCCAGGAATGCTGTCTCTCGGGCTCCGGTTCTTGAATTCGGCAACGACGACCATGCAAGACAAGGCTAGTTGTCCTCATCATCGTGTCGGAGGTCGTCCTCTGCACATTGACTAGGCTTGGTCTTCCAGCAGGGGACTCTGGACACTTCTT